GTTGTAATTTTATAACCAAAATTATTCCTAACATTTCTCATCATAAATTATTTGTAATATACATAATCAAAATGGTTATAAATTTTGCTTTAGTTGCGCGCATCATAGATTCACCATTTGTAACTTTTATCATAGAGTGAGTCACATGACGTACACCACAAATATTCTTAATTTTCATCACAAAATACAATAATCAATAAATATATTTTCTTGACTAACAAAAAAATTCATCACAAGATACAATAATAAAAAAAATTCAATATAAAAGAGATGAGATATCATTTTATGACTAACAAATTATTGAAAAAAAATAAATTAAATTAAATATCATGTGAATTAAAATATTAAAAAAATTTAACATAATTATATTAAAATTATGAAATTTGATGTATTTTTCTATAAATCTTCAAAATGATAAGTGTAATTTACCCAATAAATTAAGATGACCCCAATTTTCTCAATGAATGATAAAATTCACGCGGGGTTTTGGTTGGTTGATCTAGTTGAGCATAAAGACCTCCTTTCCCATCAAGTTCCTAGTAAATCAATTTGATCGTACTTCAAATTTTAAATGATGAATACATTGATTATATATATACAATTTCTTTTCTTTTTTTCAAAGAGGAAATTTGTAAGAACTTTCTCTTACAATAGAAAGCTTTTAGGGAGGTTCAAATAACCTCAAGTTTGGCTTAGCTGACTAGTAAAATCTCTTAATAATATAAATTTTTACATAAATAACTAGTTAATATGTTATTAGAGCAGATAATGAATTTTATGAAGACTAGCGGTTAGCACACATGATGTGTGTACAAGTTAATTAAATAAAATAAATAAATAAAGCAAATTAACATCATAATATGTGTGTTGCTTAAGTGGTGTGCACTCCTCTATATAATGTTTTTTTTTTTTAAATAGAGAAATGAGTAATACTACAAACCCATCTTTATCAATCTAAAAATTATCCAGAATCTTTATCTTGTAATTCAGATTTATTTTACACATAAACATCAAATCACACAAATTCAATCATAACCACATAATTCCATTCAGAGTAAATTCGGCAAAGTTGAAAGATGAATACCTAAAATTATTCATAAAAAAATAAAGAACATGTATCATAAGAAAAAGTGAACAAAGATTTGAACAACAAATCTAGCTTTTGGCATGCAAATTACAGTAAAGCTATGTTTGGTTTTGGTTTTTTTGGCTAAAAAAGTACAAAAGACAAAATTAGTTACATAAGCTAATAAGATAAAATGTCATATCTAAATAATAATCATTACATTTTTTCTCTGACAAAAGTCAAAAAAACCAAAAACAAAATTAAAAAAAGGCTAAAATAGCTAAAAAAAAAACTAAAAAGTCATGCTATTTTAGCTCTTCCTAAACAAAGACTAAATATTGTGGTGTCCTTCAAACCTACCTCGAATGTGCAAAAGAAGTTTTTAATTAAAGAGAGAAAAAATTATATAATACCAAACTTGATAATTTTCCATGGAGGGAAGAAAGCCAACCCAAAAAGAAAAAAGTCTTGCAAATTATAGCTATCGTTGGTAGAGTTTTAGAATTATGATTTGATAATAGAATTGTATTTTGAGTTTGTGAGTTTTGAAATTATGATTTGAAAAGAGAAAATTTGTTTGGTTATGAGTTTTGAAAAAAAATTTGAATTGAGTTTTGAATTTTTGACGTGACATATGTAATGAGAAAAGCTGTTTCGTTATGAGTTTTGAAAAGAATTTTCAAAACTTAATTGAAAAACTTATAACTCATAGCCAAACGCACAACTCAAAACTTTATTGTAAATTATATTCAAAACTCATAACCAAATCCTTTTTAAAATTCAATTCAAAAAAATAATTTGTCATTTTGGTCTAAAAAAATAATTTCTATATTTAAAAAATATTAAAAACAAATATTTTTTTTTTCAAATAACAGGTGGCGATTAGCAATTGCAACAAAAAAAAAAAAGAAAAAAAAACGAGTGGATAAAAAATTCAAAAATTATCTGGTTTACCAAACATGTTTTCAAAATATATTTTGAAATTGATTTGGAATCATAATTTGAAAATTAAAACCAAACATAGTATTCAAATATATGGGTGAAAAATTGATTAGAAACTCACACCAAACACATAGGGAATTCTATGTGGATCTCCTTTGTCCGGTTATTTTAAATCATCTCTTTATTTTACAATCAGATTACAAAAACTCATAATTTTGTGGTGTATTATGCCCATTTGGGTTCATTTGGGAAGTGGGTTGGCTTTTTGGCTTTTTTGACTATTTTAGCCTAGGACTAAAAAACCTATTTTGGGATAGGTTTTTTTGGCTTTTTTTACTTTTTGGTGAGGTGTCCACGTGTGAAATTACCCAGCTGCCCTTGGGGTGAAAGTTGGCCACTGCTGGGCGGCTAAGCCTGACACGTCAACCTCGTGTTTTCTTTCTTTTTTTTTAATTTTATTTTTTTTTATTGTTTTCAATTTGTTTTTTTTTTTTTTTTTTTGGAAAAGGCTTTGTGAGATTTTTTTTTTAAATGACTTGGAAAATGAAAATTTTGGTTTTTTTTTTTTGTTTTTGTTTTTGGAAACGGCTTTTTTATGTTTTTAAATGACGTGGAAAATGCTAATTTTGGTTTTATTTTAATGTCTTTTTTTTGGTTGTCTTTTATTTATTTATTTATTTATTTATTTATTTATTTATTTTGGGTTGGAAAAGGCATTTTTATGTTTTTTTTTTCCAAATGATGTGGAAAATGATAATTTCGGTTTTTTTTTCGAAAGGGCTTTTTTATGTTTTTTTTTAAATGATGTGGAAAATGGTAATTTCGGTTTTTTTATTGTCTTTTTTTTCTTTTTCTTTTTGGAAAAGACTTTTTCATGCTTTTTTATTTTAAATGACGTGGAAAATGGTAATTTTAGTTTTATTTTTGTCCCTTTTTGTTTTGTTTTTTTTTTGGAAAAGGATTTTTGATGTTTTTAGTTTAAAATGACGTGGAAAATGATAATTTCGGTTTTTTTTTTCGAAAAGGCTTTTTTATGTTTTGTTTTTTTAAATAACGTGAAAAATGATATTTTTGATTTTATTTGTGTTTTTTTAAGAAAAATGCAAACATTTGAAATATTTATGTCATCGATTGTAACCATTTGTTGAAATTTTTTTTAAATTTTTGATAATAGGGATTATTTCTCGTGTAAACACATACATATTGTATATGATAATATACTTACACACAGCCTCCTCTACGTGGGTTACCCATGTTACAAGCCTACGAATATTAGGTGGACTATTATATATTTCCTAACATTCCGTTATTACGCATGTACACTAACTTGTCTCGTATGCGAAGTCGCGCAAATGCTATATGTGGGTCCTTATCCTCCAACCATTAAACCATCCTCATCATGTTCAACTTATGGTATGGCATTTACCATTGCCATAGCCTCTTTCTCATTCAAGATGGGGTTAAGAGTTGTTAGATTGCCTGTATTTCGACGAATATAATTATGTAACGCCACTGACGCACCTACTAACTGAACTTGCCCATTTGCAAAATCATACCGAGGCATGTCTCTAATAAACCCCCATTGATTTTTCCTGGCGCCGAAAGTGCGTTCCACCACACTGCTTAATGACGAGTGAACTTTGTTAAATAATTCCCTGGGAGTGTTTGCTGTCCTTTGCCCTTCACTAATGCGGAATGATGGAACTCTTCTACTAATGTAACGATTTAAAAACAACGCGTTGAAGAATTAAAAAAAATCTTTTTATGTAGAAAGATGATTTCATTTATAAAAAACAGACAAAATCAGAATGGACACAAGAAACAACCTCAATTAGAACCTCTTCCATTCAAAGTGACCATAGATGGGCAGTTTCATTTCCTAGCATTTTGTCATGAATACAAGTAGATTTAAAACTCCCATCCAATCTTTAATATCAGATCAGCAATGATATTCCTAATAGATGAGAAATTTTCTTCATTACTACTAATTTGTATGGTTAAAAGTAACTACTCTCAGCTTGTATGATTCCTAATAGATTTAGAAATTTTCTTCATTAAAACAAATTTGTTTGGTTAAAAGTAAATACCTTAGCCTGTACGCTTTCCAATAGATGATAAAATTTCTTCATTAAAACAAATTTGTTTGGTTAAAAGTAATATTCCTTAGCCTGTATGCAACAAATTCAAGCCATTGGCAAAAGACACAATTTTGTACGCCCCAACTACTTTAATATTGTCCACAATAGATTCATTTGCAATTCTCTCACTGCTTGATGCCATTTCTCATGAAATCTCTCACAATGATACCAATACCTATCACTCCCATCTTTTAATATTTATATATATTCCTTTTAAATAGTTCACTGAATTCCATCACATTCACATAATAAAAATGTTAATGTGTAAAGTAACTGAAATATTGAATATAAGTTAATGCAAGAAAAATGAAGGGCACTGGAAAATTAAAACTCAGCATTATTTATTACAAAGTTGAAGACGTGTAATAAATTATACATTTAGATAAAAATTTAAATTTAAAAAGATAAATAAATAAATAACTCATTTGAAATCAAGAATTCTTCAAAGCTGATAAAACATCTTTCATTGTAGCTTATAGGAAAGTAGGTCGATGGTTTAAATTGAAAACAAATCAAAAAATTAGAATTTAAATTGATAAAAATAAAAATTAAAGCTTATTTTTTTGACAAAATTTAAACTCTGATTTTTTATCATTTTTCTATTTTTGTAATTTCCCCTCAGAAAAATTACCAGTAAAGACATGCTTTGTCTTACCCAAATGCAACTTTATTGAAAACTTGTAAGAAGCCTTGATGAATGACCTTGAAGACATATACATTTGATTCAATAAATAAACAAGTACAACTAGTTTTTCATGAGAGAGGGAAATTACTATATACTATCTGTCAAAACATTAATTTGCTAGCCTAGAAGTAGAAAGGGAAGACAATAGAAAGAGATTTCCCTTCCTCTCTCAATATCTTCTTCCACCGCAATTCTCATCGATGCCATTGTCTTTCCTCATCCAAACACCATTCTGATCACATGGGAAGGAATTGAGGCCGGGACATTCTACTTTCTCCAAGTAAATCAAATTGGGAAATAACATTGTAATGTCTTTCCAAGGCATCTCTAAGTTACTCAAGTACTTCAATTTTAACATTTTAACTGTGCTAGCTACTATTTTGTCCAGATTACACAATAGTCCTCCTCTGATGTAAAGTTTCTTCAAGTTCTTCAAATTGCCAGACCACAACCAACTAGGTGTATCTATCTCAAGAAAACACTCAAGCTCTAATTTTTGCAATGATGAAGGAAGTTCCAATGAGAGAGGAAGTTTTGGATCATGCTCCTCAAAGAATGATCTTGTCAGCTTTGTCTGCTTGGAAAATAGTTGTGCTTGCTTAGGTAAATCATCAGTTTTGCCTTGTAACATGCATCCTGACCAAGATATTTTCAACTTCCGTAGAAATTCTAATCTTTGTAAATGATGAAGCTGCCGATCTGTTGGAAATTCTTTCATACTTGCGAATATGCTCAATTTTCGTAGCTTTGGCAATTTTGTCAAATCATTGATAGTACATGACTTTTTGTCCTTAGAATCTCCAATAATAAATCCCTTAAGGACTTGGAGATTAGATAGTGCACCAAGCCCCTTATTGACGTTCCGTCTTCATCGTGTGACTTGCCATGCGGCAAGGAACACTTCACCTCTTCGGACACGCCCCAAAATATTTTAAGGGCCTACTAAATTTTGGGCTCAAAGTCGGCCTAAAATATGCCTTATATAAACCAATTTTCCAACAAATCCAATTTGGAACCACCTCCAGATTGTGACACGCTTTGAGATCCAAAATCTGAAGATTAGTCAGTTTTGAAATGAACTGAGGAAGTTCTTTAATCAAAGAAATTCCTCGAAGGCTAAGAAACCGCAATTCTTTCATATTCTTGAGAAAATTGAGAATTTTGATGTCTGGAACTTCAATGTGATGCGTGACCGAGTTCTGCCACCTTCCCAAGTAAACAACTTTCAAATTGGTGCCCCTTTTGAAAATAATTTCATGTCTTCCATCAATAATAGCCGCATCAACGTTGACTATGCAACTTTCCCAACAGGCGAAGCGAAGATCCAGAAAATAATCAAAATCATGCAACTCTAATTCAAAGGTTACAGCAGAACGAATGTAAGGGGGCATCCTGTAGCTATCCACAACCAATCCACAATTTTTGTAGATAGGCTCGATGAAGCCCTTTGCATTAAGGTCATCCAAGATCTCGTTGGCAAGAAACTCTGCTAGTTCTCGGTATAGACATCTCGATGAAAATAATCCACTTTGCAGAAAGCTCCACCAGTAAATCACAAACCTTTTCTTCATGGTAGCCATTTCTGGGAAAATCCGGAAAATATACAAAAAATGTTTTGATTCCGGACGGAGGCTATGGAAAGATACCTGTGGCTGATTGTAGAAACTGTGCAAATTGCCGGCCTTGTTTACATCGACTTGGTTGTTGCCGCTGCTACTGTTAATGGATCCGTCAAACCATGGTTTCCGATGTGGCTTTGAATCATCATCATAATGGATTTTAAGCTTGGAGGGAATCTGGGATTTCAACTTCTTGACAGACATTTTCAGTTGGTCAAGTTCGTTAGTATCACCCCCTCCTCTTGTTTTGAGCTCCTCAAATTTCTCACAAGCCTGGTTGATTTGCACATTCATATGATCTACAAACTTCTGAATCTCTGCCATGATCTCTTTCAAGAAATTAAGATCTCGACCGATCATGTTAGTGAGATCAGGATCTGCAACTTGGTAGTCGTCGTTGTTGTTTGTGGCAGTGGTAGCTTTGTGGTGGTGGTTGTTAAGTGGATTTGCTTGGGAGATACTACTATCCATGGCTTTGAAAGGAACTACTACCAAAACAGGGTCGTGTTGGAGTCTTGGCTAGAGAGAGAGAGAGAGAGAGAGAGAGAGAGACAGGTTTTTTCTTTGATGGTCTGGTCTGGGTTTCGAAGAGAAAAATGGATCTTGAGAGAGAGTGAACACGTTTTTCCTTTGACGGTCAGGCTTTCAAAGGGAGAGATGGATCATGAGAGAGAATAAACGCTGTGACACCATAAGAGAGAGAGAGAGAGAGGGGGGGAGACCAAGTAAGACTCAGAAAAGGTATAGAAGAGATAAACAAAGGGGTGGCCTACTACAGATGTTTACCGAGGCAATAATTGATGAGACGCGGGGAAGAAATATGGCCCACTGGCCGGCACCATGGTTGTTGAACCGCGTTGTCTTGAGAGAAGATTTGAATAATATTTGGGATTATCAAATAAATATTATGAAATATTTTATAAATTTTTTTTTTTTTTTTGATTTGTGTGTGATATTTTGTTATATGTGTAATTTAACGATGAAGAATCTTTCATGATCATCTTCATGTTATTTTTTTCATGATTCCTAACATTACTCGGTGGATTTTATTATTGTTTTGTTTTGGCTTGTAGAGTTTATTATGAATTTTATTTTAATGATTTGAATTATTTATTTTATAAATTTTTTGTGTGTATATTATTTATAAAAAAAATTAAATTGATTCAATAATTATAATATTTTCATTTTATCTTATTTAAAAAAAATAAATAGTCTATTTTAATAAAAATATTTGTTTAATTTTTCGAAAACAAAAGTAATAAAATAAAAATATTATGATTATTGGTTCAACTTAATTTTTCTGTATAAATAATATACATTAAAGAAAATATCACCTAAACGGGGTTTGATGAGATTTGGGAAGAGTGGGAAGTTGTCCTCTCGATTTATCGGGCCTTTTGAGATCCTTGAGCGAGTTGGAGAGGTTGCTTATCGTTTGGCGTTATCACCATAACTTTCTGGAGTGCATGACGTGTTTCATATTAGTGTGCTTCGGAAGTATGAGCCGGATCCGTCACACGTGTTGAATTGGACTGACTTAGAAGTAGAGGAGGATGCCTTGCATGAGGAGAGACCGGTGAGAATATTGGATAGACGGGACCAAGTCTTGCGAGGCAAGACAATTCCCTTGGTCAAAGTATTATGGAAACATCACGGGGTCGAAGAAGCGACTTGGGAGCGTAAGTTAGAAGTCTAAGAGAAATATCCGGACTTGTTCGTTAGTGCGTGAATATGTATTGAGATTTTAATTATGATGATGAAGAGTATGTAAACATTGTATATGTTTAAATTTTGAGAACATTGTATATGTTGTTTACACTTTGGAAACATGAATTTATTATAAACATTGCATATGTTTAAGAATATGGAATATCACATGTATTATATCACCATGGAAGCATTGTATATGCTATGTGAAAACTCGGACTTTGATTAAACATTGTAAATGTTTTGAGAAATTGTCAATTTCATTTTGATTGGGACTTGTGTATCGAGTCAATGAGAATGGATGATCGGAGCATGGGTCATGGTGTTGAGTATTGAATTGTAATTATTTTGGAAGTTGGCTAAACTTGATTTTGAAACTTAATTTGTAAATTTCGGGGATGAAATTCTTTAAGGGGGGGAGGTTATAGCGAACCCGATCTTTTACCCAACTCTTGTGATGTTTCGGGCTCGAGTTTAATGTTTTCATATTGTTGTCTACCTCTTTCTTCCCTTGTATACCTTTGAAATTGGTCTTTGGGTTGTGTGGTTGTGTTTGGAACAGGTTGGTAACTTACTTTTTAAACTTTGTGTTGCCTAGATTTTTGGTCTTACGCTCTAGCGCCCATTCTTGCGCTAGAGTAGGCTATGTACATTTTGGTTCTCCGCTCGAGCGGACCTTCTTGCGCTTGAGTGGGAGTTGCAAACCTTCAGTACTTTGCACGTCTACAAAAGTGCTGGAGGAGTGTCTTTCACGCTCGAGCGTACGGCATTTCCTATGCTCGAGCGGGTGGGCACTCGAGTGTCCTTTATTAAGCTCGAGTAGGTCTTATTGCGCTCGAGCGGGTGGTGCCTTGTTGTTGTGCCTTGGCGCTCGAACAGCATTTCTTGCGCTCGAGTGGAATAAAAGTTTGTGTCTGACGCTCGAGCGTCAAACTCTCCGCTCAAGCGGACTGTGCGTATATCAGATCGCGAAAGTGACATTTTAAATCACTTTTTCATCATTTTCTCTCTTTAAAACTTTTCAAAAACCTAGATTGAGACATTCTCTCTCTAAAATACTCTCTCTCTCTCTCTCTCTACATTTTGGCCTAGATCAAGTGATCTCTACACCATTGTGCCTTTATTAAAAAGTTTGAGCATCTCAAGATCTACCTTTTGAACCGAATAGAGTGGAATTTCGACATGTTTGGGGTTTCTCTCTTGCTTGGCTTATCTTCTCTTCTTGAGGTAGGGATATTCTACACTTTAACATGGTTTTTAACTTAGGTATTTGTTATTTTGTGTAAATGGTGGGATTTAGGAGGATTTGATTAAAGTTAAGGTTTGAATTCAAAATTGAAAGAGGGGTTTTCCATGTTGTTTTTACAAAATGACTATGGGGTTTGTATATGAGATTCTCTAGTGTTAAAATGGTGAAATTTTAGCCGTTGGGTTGATATTTGAAAAAAAAATAGAGAAATTTGCCCTAATTTGAGTTTGATAACCAAATTGTATAAATAATGAAATTGGTGTGGGAAAAGTGAAATTGGAAGGGTATGTGAATGAATGGGGTAATTGGATTTGTTAAATCACTCACTTATGGAAATTTAACAAATTATCCGTTTAAAAGATTGTGTATCTGTCTAGAAATATCTGTTTTGGGCTATCGGTGGAGGATATCTATGATTGTTGTAGAAATTGCATGAGGATTAGGTAAAATCGAAACCTATTATTTAAATTGTGTCATTGAATATGACGGTATGACCGAGACATTGAACATGTGTTGTAAATGGTCATTGAATATGGCGGCACTTTAGTACATTGTATATGCATGGGGGAAGAAAGAGGATGAACTCCGCTGTTTGAGGGGAGATAGGGGATGGACTCTATTTAAAACTAAGTTAGCCGGAGTGTTTAGGGTGAAAGTCCCGAAATCTTATGAATACATAGGTGTCGATTCCGCAGATGAAATTTTCGTAAAATGGCAAGGTTGAAGTGTTTGTATGATGGTTATGTGGACAGAGAACCACTGAGTTGTAGTCTCGGTTGGATCATTTGGAAACTTATGTATATTTGTCATATGACTTGGAATGAAATGAAGTAACTCGAAACGAATAAATGAGAATGGATTGAAGTATGAATATCAGTATTGAATGGTTATGGGAAGAATGTAAGTTAACCATGAGTATTGAACATTTATCTGATAGTTATATCTTAGTTAAACCCCATATACTGTGTTAGTTTATCTCTTCTGGGTTTTAGCTCACCCTACTCGGGAAAACATTTTTAGATACTGGTGACATGCCATCTCCAAGGACATAGCTTGGGAGGATGGAGGGCAAAAGGCTCCATTTTTGTTATATTTGTGCTTATATGTTTATTCAAGCCAAGGGCTTAACTTGTATAGAGCTTAGGACTCTTTCTTTTGTTGGAACCAAGTGATGTCTTGAAAAGATGTAAGCCCGTAGGGCATTTATTTTGTTATCGTTAATTTGAACTACATGCTGTAGATTCAGAATAACTGGTCATGAATATATAATGCATGTAATTCCCTTTTGTGATAGAAACTCTGATGAATGAAGTGGATCATTTTATTATGTTCATAGATCTTACGGAGTGGATTATTGTATTATATTTTGGGGGCGTTACAGGAGGGTCTATGACTTGTGCTTATATGTATTCTGCATATGAGATTGTTATTGGGGATGTGCTTTTATATGTTGATTTGCTGCCTCTAAATCTTGATCATTTAATGCAATCTTGGGAATGGATTGGTTAACCAAATATCATGCCTCCATTGATTGTGTAACGAAACAAGTTGTTTTTCATCCACCCAGATTTCCTGAATTTGTATTTAACGAAGTTGGTGTTGTACCTCCCCTATATTTGATTTCATCTATGAAAGCATTCAAATTGATTGAAAAATGGTGTAAAGGGTATTTATGTTGTATATTGGCTGTGTCTGTTGATACTAAAGCTAATATGGACAGTATTCCTATAGTCAGAGAATTTCCAGATGTTTTTCTAGATGATTTGCCAGGGGATTTGATTAACAGGGAGATTGAGTTCACTATTGAGGTGATACGGGGTATATAGCCAATTTCCAAAGCTCTATATAGACTGGCACCTGCTGAATTGAAAGAGTTAAAAATCCAGTTGCAAGAATTGTTAGACAAAAAGTTTGTCAGGCCTAGTACATCACCGTGGGGCGCTCCAGTATTATTTGTGAAAGAGAAGGATGGTTCATTGAGACTTTGCATTGACTACCGCGAGTTGAACAAGGTGACAGTGAAGAACAAGTATATGTTGCCTCGTATTGATGACTTATTCGACCAATTGCAAGGTGGCCAAGTATTTTCCAAGATTGATCTTAGATCCAGATACCACCAATTGAAACTCAAAGCTATGGACATTGAAAAGACTGTTTTCCGAATAAGGTACGGACATTATGAATTTCTTGTTATGTCTTTTAGAGTTACTAACGCGCCTGCTGCATTTATGGATCTCATGAACAAATTTTCAAACCATTCCTCGATGAGTTTGTGGTTGTATTTATAGATGATATTTTGATTTATTCCAAGAGTAAAGAGGAACATGAACATCATTTAAGAATTGCCTTGCAAACTTTGAGAGAGAAGAAATTATATGCAAAACTGACAAAGTGTGAATTCTAGTTTGATAGTGTTGTGTTTTTGGGGCATGTGATTAATAAAGATGGTATATCAGTTGACCCACAGAAAATGGAAGCAGTAATGAATTGGCCTAGACTTACCAATGTTACTGAA